TATAACATTTCGTCATAATTTTTAGCATCTAAAAATCAAGAGAATTTGTGAGTGACATAATTAAACATTTATAATCTCTATAAATGGATAGGCAATTGCTTACAATTGACAGATTTTTCAATTCCGATTGGAACGCACCTATTGATTGACAGTAATTCTATCTATATTATTAGTTTGAATCCATAGCGCCGCTACCATCAGCGCCAAAATGTCGATGATCAAATAGGCACAAAATACTACGTCTTATAGCCAGTCCATTTATAGAGCTCAGTGAGTCGTACGTACATATTCTACGTTACTCACGTAAACAACTTCCAGTGCAGTGATGCTTGATGATGGTGATGGTGATGAACAGATGACGTTTTTTCAATTTAACATAATTAAAATGATAAATTATAGCTATTTTTTAACTAAGTCAATCTCTTTAGTCTACTAAGTCAACACAAGATCCTAAATTTTGTTTGTTTTTAAAATTTAATTTTTAATAACTGGTCAGTGCCAACAGCCGATTAAATTTCGATTCTAATTTTAATTAATGCTAATTATAAAAAAATATCTTGAACAATAATTTTGTAATTTTGCATGAAAGCGTTTAATTTTATCTGTATATTAATTAACACAAATTTATGTTTCCTCTCGATATACACATGGAAACCAAACACTGATGACCATTTCTAAAATCTAGTCTTAATAAAAATAGTCAAAATAAGTTTTATAAATTATTAGTAAAAACGACAAAGCTGGTAAATCTATATATATTAAAGAAAGTTGTGTTAGTTACACTATTTATAACTCAAGAACGGCTTTACCGATATGGCTGAAAATTGTTGAGGAGGTAGCTTAGAGCCAGGAGACGGACATAGGATATTATTCATTCTTTTTAAAATGTATGCCTTGAAGAGCTTTTTATTTAACTTACTAACATTATAAATGCGAATGTTTAAATGGATGTGATGTGGATGGATGTTTGAAGATAGGTATTTCTAGAACTGCTGAACGGATCTCGATTAAATTTGGCATACGTATATAGTCTGAAAGAACACATAGGCTACACGAATTAATTTTTTTTTTATATATATCCACGCGGACGCAGTTGCGTGCGACAGCTAGTTGCTAATAATAAAAAGTGTTTTTGCAAAGTTCACATCGTAAATTGAAGCTATGCACATGCATTTAACTTGCTAGTATTTTAGTTTATGCCACTATTTATTAAGTAGGTTAATATCCCTTTGCTGTTGTAATAGAATCTTCAGTAAATAAATGTCATAAAATCTGTTTGACTACTTTATTTAATGTGTTAGAGTATAAAAAAATTGCTTTACAATTTAAAATTTCAAGGGGACTATAAACATAAAAAAACTAATATCTCGAACGACCATTCTGACAATAGACCCTTAATAGGGCGTAACAAAAACCTAAATAACCACCCTCGTCTGACTAGGCATAGTTTGCCCTAGTTATATTCTAGGCTATTAGAATAAAAGATGTCGACAATTCGCGATTTTACATCGCAGCTCAAAAGCAAGGGGCGACGGTTTCCGGACTATTCAGCCAGGACTAGTTTCAACGGCCGTGTATTGTGCCGCTTGGACCCCTCGGGCCCAAGGCCACGAGGACCGCAGGCCCAAGGTCACGCAGGTAATGTTATGAACAACCAAACTTATAACTTTGAATAACTGTTAAATACTTTTGACACGTGTATTGGCATGACACGTCTGCAGGGTTGCCAGGTGAAATAAACCGTTATGTTTCTACATATGAATGATACGTAAATGAAAAGAAAATTTAATCCTTTGTATGAGTAATTTTTGCTTATTGATTATCGTTCCAAGAAGCATTCATAAATGAAATAAAAGATTCCGTTGTTAAAGGAATTTCTCTTGAATTATGTAAAATTAATTTACGTAGAATATAAATAGGACACTAAACGTTTGATGCCATATCATGTAATCATAACTTTGCATGTTTTCTATCCGAAGTAAAGTTGTGGGTTTTCTTCACATTATAAAACGTGAAATATTAATCTATCAGCAATTGCAGACTTTCTGGTAATGGAATATACCAGAAAAAAGAGAAATTAGATATCATCGCCAACCGTGTTTTTGCATTAATACAAATAAGACAGATAATTTTAAAATACACATTTATTTATTCCGAAGAATAATTATTCAACGGATGTACAGTATACATAATAATACAGATAACATCCGCAGATCGCAAGTAAAATCCCGCGCAAAACTGACAGCGCGCGAAAGCTTCTAAAGGCCAGCTGCGTAAGGAAGCTCAGAGACGAGGAGTCGTGGTGAATAGCGCCCGCACACCTGCGCCCCTCGAGACAACACACACAAGCGATCCCGAGTTATTCATCAAATGAATACCCGATCTACGAGGGTTGCCATATCGGGATTTAGATTTAAAATCTGCGATGGATTACTCAAGGTTACTGATTATAAAGAAATTATTACAAAAATTACAGAAGAACAATTTCTATGTGAGATTTTAAATAAAATGTGGACTAGATTTGATGACATGGTAGATTAGACAAGTTCTTTTCTAGATTAGGAAGAAATCGATGACTTCTTTATGCTTACAATATTCTACACATTTTACTTACAAGAGTAACCGAACTCTTATGTATTTTTAAAAGAAACCGCTCGCTTGCAAGCAAATGCGATTCATAACTGAAAGTCGTTAATTAATTTCCATTTGAAATGGATCTATATTAAGTTACATCCTGTTAGTTTAATTAGGTCATAAGACCAATGACAATTTGTTGGTATTTTTTATACAAATGAAGGCGGCAAACAAACGGCGGGAACATTGGAATGATCATCTACGCACATGGACATCCGCGTCATTTTCTTTTATTAAATTCGATTCATAAAAATGTCAGCTAAACTTTATTGCAATGGTAACCCTAAGTTGGATTTAAATTTGCACTTATGTAAGCGATACCTGTTGTAAAAAAATTAAATACGAGGCTTAGATGACCTATTGTGTTAAGATTCGTATTTTTTTGTAATCTCTTACGTACTTAGAACCCTACTTATACAGGACAAAATAACTCTTTTGAAAAGTGAACAATAAAGTAAATCGCGACAAAAAAAAATTAACGCAATAATTTGTAAGAGATCACAGATCTCGGATCGATCATTTTATTTCAGTTTCAGACCTTACTTAAAATGATCAAAAGAAATCATAGTTAATTGTATTCATAATGAACAAACATTTACTTAAAACATAAGTAAAATGAATTATAAAATAGAGATATCGCGATCGCATCCGCGTGCAGAAGCAAGTTTTGATATAAAATATTATAGATTAAAACATTCATTTTATTGTATCGCTGGGCCCGCTCGTCTCGTGTAATATTCGCCGGTCGCTTCGTAGACGTTGCTCTTATTTTTTTACATCGTTTTGTGTTCCCCAAGGACTTGATCTCATTCCCCGCGACGCGGCGTCTCAAGCTCCTCGTTATCCTTGACCTCAATCTTATGTACATTAATGACATTAATAATTTAATCTCATAGTCTTACTAGTTGAAGCATTTTTATGTCTTGCAAGATGATTTATTTTGTTTAATAGCTTGTTAATTATAGCTAAAACTTAGTAATTTAACGTCTGCTAAGGATAAAAAATGGTTTGATATCTTAGAAATTTTTTAAATAAGTTTAGGATCAGGATTTTTGTACGTGGGAAAATAATAACAGCGCCATCTAGTGGTAAAGCGATGTAATGTTTATAAAATGCGCGTGCGCAATGCGTACCGATAGAGCTAGTAAACGATTGTAATTAATTATCGAATTCCTCATGAACTTAGCAGAAACACAACAGTTTGATAATGAAATATTGAAATCCAAAGACAATGCCGCGTTTCGTCTGATGATTGTGCGTCCCTATGCTTTATTTTAGTAATATTGCCATATCAACTCTTTTCTTAAGGAAATTATTTGCATCCCCTCTTTTGTCTAATGGGAGACAATACAATTGCAAATGCGATGTCTATAAGCAGCTATCACTTCGCTATTTTAGCGAATTCAGGTGTCCGCTGGCTTATTCGCCATCTTATAATATGAAAAAAGGGTTTATGGGTTAGTATTAAAACAGCTTTAGAAGTGTTGCCACCGTTTATTTGAATTTTACTAAAAAAATTGAATAAAAAATATTATATTTCACCAACACGTTACGTTACTTTAGAAATGAATAATATACAGTTGTAGAAAACCTCCCGCGCCGCTCCGCCGTTACATTAAATATTATTATTGGATATTTCATTTATTCATTATTATAAATATGTTACAGATTATAACAAGGGAGCGTGGTCAGTGTTGCCAGATGCTCTGCGAACTGTCTTACTACAGCTATACATTTCTAGCGGTGTTTAAACGATGTTCAACTTCCTACAACATTGTCTATGGAAAGCACATCTATTTAATCTATGTAACAAAAAAATATAAACGAAACTTTGATCATTATATAACATTTAAAAACCGCTAGTTTATAGCTATAAAGTTTCTAATATGCTATCTCAAAATCTACAGAACATATGATTTAATTTCGTTGTATCAAACATGAAATCTCCATTTTGGCAGTCTCACTGTAATACTCAAGTGTCGCGTTATTCTAGATTAAAAAAAAAAACATAATTCACTCAATGATGGCCGACATTTACTATCATTAGAAGCACATAGATATTGAGGCAGCTACACTATGCTGTTTAGTTTGAGACATTTTCACACATAATTTTGCCTAAGAAAGCTATCACATGTTCTGACACTAATTCGAGTCAAGCTTGTCACAATTGAGTCCAATTTTCTAACACTTACAACTTAATAATTAGTAAATACACGCGATGTTAGTCATATATCTATGTTAGCTACAGCCAAAAGGGATTGCGTTAATGATTCAAATATACATATATTGTTGGCATGTGTGTGTGTACGTGTGTGTGTACGCGAGGTGCGAGGGGGGGGGGGGG